TGCAAAAAGAACTGATCCTACAGCTACTGATCCAGACAATAGGATTAGACCATGGAAGGGATAACTTTGCAAAAACAGCTGATCAGACAGCTGGAACTTAGAAACAGGAGGCCATGCAGCTGTTTGCTTAGACAGTAAGACAGTAACAACTCAGCAAGCATAACTATGGGGCAGCTGTAGTATTAGGCAACATCAAAATTAGGCAGCAAGAAATGATATGAGAGCCCCAGGACCAGGCAATACAAATAGAAAGTAGCATATCATAAACAGAGTGGAAAAGAAAGCAATTGATTATAAAAACAACAGGATCTGACAAGCAGGGTTGGGTAGTGCGAGATCAGACAGCAAGAGTAGCTGACTGGACAGGGCTGGGATCAGACAGCATATGCAGCTCATCAGGCGGGAACAAGATCCAAAAGCAGGAACAGTTCTTTGGCAAGAAGCACAATAACCCAACAGAAGCCATTCACCTGATTTGATGAGTGGAGTCTCCCACACTAAAAATGGTCTGGAAATGCATGCTGCTGTGGCGCAGAGGACACAGCACCATGTAGCGCTAAGCACCACTAACACAGACCTCTGCCTGGAACCCTTTGCACCCTCCCCTGTCATGGTACATGGTCCCTCCCTCCCTCCCACCCGTCTGCAGGAACGCGAGGGGACGGGGCTGGACCTGGGAGAGCACACACTACAATGGGATGACTATAATTCTTTACCAAGGCAAGGTCTCTGTCATTTTCTCTCACTGCTTTTTCGAGCTCCACTGGTTTGAGAGGATTATGAGTAATGATTAAATCCAGCAGCCTCTTTTTCTCTGTACAAAGCACCAGAAATTGTGTTTTGTATCTTTTTCCTGCAGTTGGCAAAGTTCTGTTTTAAGCTGCAGCATAGTCAAAACTTCAGTAAAATATTAGCAAGGCATTGAGGGAACAGAGCAGATTATAGGTCAGTGTCTTTAGATATCATCTGGCCTACTGTACTAGCACAGCATGTGACATTGAAAAAGAAACAGCACCAATACATCATTGATCCTTTAAGCATATATGACTGCTATTAATTTCATCTTTCATCGGCTTATTCTCCCTGTACTTTTGCCAGTTTCTGATGACTGTTGCTGTTTCTATAAATCACTGGAATGCCAGGAAACATTGCAAAAATCAAAGAGAAGTGAAATAGCATTTTTCATCCTCTCCTCCACTCTCCCCTCACAAAAACCATAGAGTTATGCCTGTATGGAAGATTTCTCAGACCTTTTTATTTAATCTCTGAAGGTCTGTGACAACATCACCAGTCTAATCCTGCAAGATAGCAGTTAGAAAAATTTATAAACTAGTTCTTTTACCAAAAACTGGTGTAGCTAGCACTACTGTTGCAGCTCAGCACTGTTGATCTATTGCAGACAAGACTAGAAAGATGTTAAAACCGGCACTGGTCTTATACTAGCTGTATTGACCTTTGTCAGTGCTGGAGCTCCTGGTGGCAATTTTTTTTGCAGTGAATATGATGCATTTCTTGATCATCCCTCGGTGACTTGAAATCACATTAACCCATCATATCTGCTCACAGAACATTATCACTGATTTTGTCTGCTTGTTTTGCTCTCCCATATTTCCTTTCTTTGAAAGATTTTTCCCCTCCTCCAGAAAGTCTCCTACATGCCAGATCAGCAGATGAAAGCCCACGGGATCAACTGCATTAAATTTTTCATGAGGTTTCTCAGCTGTCTGCCTCTTAGTCCTCTTGACAATTAAAGCATTAATTTGCATGGCAAACAGAGAGTCTTCCCCAACCTCTCCTCTTGCCCCATCAATAAACAAAGAAGTGAGTCTGTGAGATCCTCAGCTTCCTCCATGTACCTTGAAGTCAGAGATAACTCAGAATCTCATGCAGGTTCTGACACTCTCTCGTCAGCTGTTCTCACCTGATACCTCTGATCTGAACACAATTCTGCTGTTAACCTGGGCTATGGGAAGCTGCCTGAAGTTACATGCAAAATCCCAGGAGCAGCTTTTAGTCATACTGATATGACTGTGTGACTGGAGAACAAATAACAGAGGTTCTCAAATGTCTTCCCATATCTGCCTCTGCGGGATATGCATATTTGGTCTCTGTCTTCTGCACTGAAATAATTCAAGGCTTATCTTTGCTAACCAAGCGTACTTACACCTTGATCACATTTCCCACCCCCCAGAAATTACACAAGCACTCAACCAGGTATCCTGACCATGTAACCTGTCACATGGGTTTGAGTGGGGTATGTGGGCCACCCACTCTGACAGAGGTGGTACTGTTTGGCTGTGAATACTCTTGGTGCTGGGAGAGAATATGGAATTACAGCCTGAGGTAGAGGAATGGCTTCTGGTCTGAACTACATCGTTCTATGCGCCATCTAGATCCTAGGGTGTACAATGCACATCTCTGAAGTTGCTTGTCTTTGTCTGAAAGAAACTTTACACCTTGGATCAGATGTGTGGGAGGAATGTAAATTTTAGTGATGTTCCTTTAGTTGGAATTATGTCTGCTAGGTGACAAGTCACCAGCTGCAGCATGTTACCACTTTTGCAACTTCATTCACAGACCAGCCTGACCACATGCTCTGCAACACTGGATCTGGAGCATAAAGAAGTCATGGTACAGCTCCATAAATGTGAGAAAGCACAGCTGAGTGTGTGGCAGAAGCTAGTGTATGGTGTCTGATTTGAGAGACTTGCTGTCACATTTTTAAGGCCAGCCCTGCAGTATACTGCTATAATATGAGTATGGAAGTACTGTGGGAAGAAAAGAAGCATACAGAATATACTGGAGGTTTGTGGCAATAAAGCAACTTATTCTGCCCTCATTAATGCAAAGAAAGTAGGTGCCTGATTCCATCGAGTCTGGGTTGTTCCTAACCTGCATGTCACTATACCTTCTGCTGCTTTAATAATGTCTAAAGTAAAATAAGGATAACTGTAACATCCTGGTATAGGATATTCTCTAAGAGATTTGAAACCATATTCGATACAGATATGGAGGAAGGAAGTGAATCCCAATATTGTCTCCCAATGAATGCTATAGAAATGAGGAATATCTTTCCAAAGCTCCCTTTTCAAGCCTTATTTAAAAGACAACAGTGCAGTTTATTTTGTTTTGAAAAACAGAGAAGTTAGAACAACTGACCCTTGTCACTTCCCCAGGTTGTTTCACAGCCTCTCCCAGTCACACTCAACAGCCTCCAAGTTCAGAATGACAGAGCAGCCCAAAACAGAACAGTAATTTCTCCCTGCAGCTCAGAGGAACGTATGCATGCCAGGGTGAGGACTGGGTTTGAGCTGTACCTTTGAACTCAGCCTTCCCCTGTAGCTGACTGTAATGGGAATTGGAGGAGCCAGAGCCTTGATGGCTAACAAGACCTCCTCCGTGAATGTGCTCCCCAAAACACTTTAAACTGTTCTCCATGCTGGTTTTAGGCAGTGCCCCAATCAATATGTTGGCATTTCGGTTTAACAGTCAGGGGAATAGATCCCGTGTTTCCCACCCACTGTGTAGGGAAACGGGAACATCCACAACATGAAGCCAGGATTTAGCCTTACCACAAAACTCAGTCCTTTTGCAAATTGGACCTAAATTTCTCTTCAAACATAGCCCTTCTTCTTTGAGCCAGTGGGCTATTTATGCAGGTAGTTTATCTTGCCTGTACTTCTTACACATTTTAGCATGTTACTTATCTGATTACTCATCATTTTTAAATACACAATCTCTATAGGAAAACAGTTGTCCATTTCCAAGTTTACAAAAACATCTGCAAGTTGTTCAGCAACCTCGGTGTCGTGGCCCTCAACACTTGGCTTCCCAAATATTAAAAAGTGCTTCTGGGAAAAGAAGATGATTTGTTCCATGTATGTTAGGGTCAGGGAGCTGAAGGGACGGACTTTGCGTTTGAGTCAGGACAGGGCTGCAGGCTCTGCTAGGTCTAGCCTGGGCGTCTGGGCTCAGCCCTGCCACCCTCCCAGCAGCAGGAATCGCATCCATGCTGCAGGGGCACAGCTCACAGTCTGGCAGCTTAACAGGAGCCCATCACTGATGCATCCTATCAGCTGATCTGTGCACACAGGATCTTTTCTGTCATCTCTTTCTAGAGCACAATTTGGCTATATAAAGGCACCTTAAAAAAAAAAACTTTAAAAGAACAAAGAAAAGCGGTGGGGCTGGAGGGAATACACTAACTGCTGATACTGCAAAAAGTACCTGCTAAAATACCGGTGGAATTTGGGAACTTAGCAGTGATCCATTCCCATGACTTATGATAAGGCAAAATCTTAAATCCTCTTTAATTTTACTGCCACTAATGCAGCCTTCACATTGTGTTTAACAAATACACTAATGTGTGTTCATAAAGAAGAAAGCTATTTTCTGCTAAATAAGTAGATTTTGGTTTCCAAGTTAATAGGTAATTGGAAACAGCAGCTACCAAAATATCATCAATTATAGCATGAACAGAACCATCAGCATAGTGAAACTAAGGGGAGAAAGAATATTTGGCTCAACTGTGTCTTGTAGTTATTTGCAGAACAGAAAATCCTTTTGCTACAAAGCAGCTATTAAAAAAAAATAAAAAGGTATCATTTTGTACAGATGAAGGGAAAAGGGGAGAAAAATAACAGCTACAATAATAAGATGTGACATATTATAAATTCCAGTAAGAATCAATCTCTCGAAGGGGAAAATGGTTGTATTATAAAAGGTCTCAATTCCATAGAAAAAGTACAGATGCCTTTGAAATCCCTACAACATTATATTTTCTTTAAAATTAACTTTTATGTGTTCTGAGTTTTATTTGTTTTGAAGGGATACTTCCATTGTTCACAACATTCTAATCTTCAACAAAAACTTGTATTTTATTGACTGAGACCACAGGTCTTGATTCTCATTCTGAATTTAGCAGTCAGGTATTGATGTAGCTACATTAGTGAAAACCCCAAGGAAAAGCCATCATTCATGTTTGTGGAGCTTACACTCACCCAAAGCTGAGGTCAGTTCTACTGGTAGAAACTCAAATCATCTCTCTCTACACTTGAATTTGTCCCGATATAACTGCCTTTTGATAGGTCATTGTTCCTTAAATTGGGACAAAGTCACAATGTACATGTCCTAGGTTACTGTAGGAAAAACATGGGGATAAGGTTATTGCCAAAAAAAAGACTAAATGGGTTTTAATAACTGTAGTATAGAAAAGCTGCTAAATGCTACTTTTTTTTTTCCCTCTTTGCCTATATCTTTTTCTGTTTGCCAACAATTGTATGCAGGTAAAGTAAGTTCAGAAGATTTATTATTACTAAGCAACAAAAACTCCTGCATTGTTCTGTACATAATTAATTCTGAAGTTGCATAAAATTAAGTTCAGCTTCAGTAACAGTAGAACAGCTATTCATGATTTGTGCAATTCCAAGGTCTTGCCAGTTTTAAGATAGTGATTTTGTCTTTCTTGGTACTATAAATATTGGGAAGAAGAGAAAATACTTCAAAAATATGTCAGCAATCATGTAATACAGAAATGAAAAAGACATAACCCTTTTCTTGAGCAGAACTTTTTAGAACAATTTCAAAGGACTTTCTTATTGACTGTCCATGTAATTTGTATTAATATACTGTTGTTTTATACATCAATAGTATTCCTGTGATAAACAGATATGTCTTCCATGAGGTCACTATTCGCACCGTTAGTGTGAATCTCGCATTTCTTTATCAGTGGTTGAAACTCTTTTAATAATTCCGTTTGACCTCTGTGGGATTATAAACTCACATACTCAGACCTTTACTCCATATTGTTGCTGAAATGTATTTATATAATTTTTAGGTATCTCCTACATATGAAGAATATGGAATACATTTAATAACGTTTATACCCTTGACATTCAGAGTGATTATACTTCTTATCTTAGTACTTATAAACATTTTCTCATTGACCTTAATAACTAAAAACACTTAGCCTGGGAAAGAGGTTATATTTGTCTCTAATGCAGTCATTACTGCATTAGCTGTGCATAACATATCAGATCAGGATATGTAAATTTATGGGATATATTAATAACTCATACCTTAGCTGATGGAAAATTTGGACTATTACAATACAAAAGAGGCTTGCCCACAAGACTTAGAGAAAAGGATAAAGAAACTCACCTTCAAGCTGCTGTGTGCCCTCATTATACTTTAAAATAATAACATTTATTGTCTGAAAACTTTTCCCCCTAAAAGGAAAAAATTGTAATTGATTTAAATGAAGTAAAATCTCTATAAATTAATTAAATCAAAATAGAAATTAATTTGAAGGGAAAAATAAATCAGGAACAAACTTTATTAAATACCATAGAACCATTTATATTCATTTTACTGAAATGAATACAGTTAGAAATGGCTAGCAGGGAAGATGGCAGAAATCTGTTCTCTCTACACAATGGAGGAATTGTTCCATGATACTCTATGCAAGACACAGCTTCATACATTTTGCAAATAGCCTTCTGATACTGACTGTATTATAGATTTTAGCTTCCAAATTGAATGCTCATAGTTCTTCAGATAAAAGATTCAAATTCCAGCCTGAGTTTTATCTCAAGAAAATGGTTCCACACAAAATTTAAATAAAATATATACAGCTATCATTAACAGCCCTGCACAGTGTTCTGCTTTATAGACTGCTGTGTGATAGCCAGTCCCCTGGAGTAAATGTTTTCTAATTTAAGTAAAGTAGTAGGAGCAAGCAGAAACCGAGTTCTGTGATAATACTCAATCTTCACTCCCAGATGTAACATCTCTGGAATAAATCTGTATGAATTTTCTCAGGTAGCTCTGCTACCATAAAGACAGGGATCAGGAATTTAGCCATCTTGGAAAACAAAATTAAGATACAACCCACAGGTTCACAATTGCACCTACTGACAACATCACATGACTGATTTTGACTGAATGTGAGCTCTAGAGACTTTCCTGAGGGTGGTTCATCTCCCTGGCTGTGACTTCACATGTAACATCTGGACAGTTTGTACACACCCAGACCTGCAAGGAGTAGGCCATCGGGCCTCCATGGGGGCACTCCTCCCTCTAGGACGTGGAAGTGGGGTATAACCAGCTGCCCTTCCGTATTAAGCACATATTGCATGCATCAGTGTCTATGGGATTGAGTCAAGTCCTCTGCGGATGTTGTAGTGTGTGTGCTATCGTTTGAATGTACTTACTGTGACTCATTTGTTGGTATCCATTAGTTTGTATTTCCCTTCTGGTCTGTAAACATTGTCTTCAGCAGACGGTACTCTAGAAAGTATATTAATAATTGCTAGAGATAGAAGTCAGAAACATTTCCTTACATCATTCCTTATATAACATTCAGACCATAATTGGTCTGTATCTCCATCTCAGAAGATTTTATAGCTGTCAAGACTGGCTCAATGAATAACATTTCCTGACTAATATGAAGGGATTCCCTTCTGCCTCCCCCTCTCTTCTGCTCACACTTTGCACAGAGGTTTAGCAGACTAGTACATCAAGCTGTAAGTGAAAATAAAATATAGCCTATAGTAAAGGCTGTCAATGTTAAATAGATCCCACAAATTCTCAAAGCTTTGCACTGCCCCCACTGTAAGCAACTGTATTGATTTCTGTCAGATTCAGAGAAAACTACAGAAACAACAAGTTATGTCCAGTTTTTCCAGTTATAAAACATGGTCTAAGTTCTATTTTGAAATATATTCACAGAAGACTCTGTCTAATTATAGTAAATTACATATACTTAAGTGAACTACTCGGTGAATCTACGCTTTCCTAAAAACACACACAAGGGAATAGTATGGTAGTATTTAAAATCCTGCTGTGACTATGAGATCAATAAATTATGAGGTTTAACAGAATTCTCCCATATTTTGACATTATATTGTCAAGAAAAGCAAGAATAGACAAAACTATGGTGCAATATTGCCAGACTACCACAGCTATTGAAACTTTGACTTGTTAACTTCCTGACTGGATTGAAGACATGTCAAGATTGTCATAATCCTAATAATTATGAGACAAGTTTTCTCTCATTCACATTCTTCTACTTTTAAAGAAGAACAGATATTTTTTTTAAAGTAAAGTAAAAAGAATTTTCTGAAGTGTGGAGCACGTTAAAGCAAGTTTAGATACTTGAAGAAGTCGTGAACTTTCAAACCACTGCGATATTCATGGTGAAAAAGTACTTACTGATAAACCACCTAAAATCCTTCACCGTATAAAGCTTCAAAGCACTGTAAATTCTTCAGGCAGAATACGCATATATCAAATTTTTGTGTGACCTAGGGCCAAATCTTCAGCCAGTCCAACTCATAGTAGATTCATTATCTTCAATGAAATGCTGCTGATCCACACTTAGAGTACTGACCCATAATCTTTTAATACACCTTAACTGATTAGTGCTGATTCTGCTTTCTGTAACTATTTTCATGGTATTATTCCATTTACTTTTCTGAAACTCAGTTGCTCAAATGTGAGAGAGATCCAAATCTGAGCTTTAATGCAGCCTAAGCGCTTAAGCCACCTTACAGTACATACCATGTAGTAGCTGTAAGATACATTAAAAAGTACATACTTGAAAGCATAGGGGCAAAAAACTCCAACCAAACAAAACAATGATAGCTGCAGAAAGGAATAAATACTATACCTGGTAAAACACTACACCTGGTAAAGGGTAGTCTACCAATACCACACATTTATTACAGCAGACCTAAATCTGCTTGTAATCTCACAATTATTGCCACATTCTCAACTGTAGCTGCTTCTGCCAGCCATGAAAATAGCCTGGTGTGTGCATCCACTGTGGTACAACCCACATATAGCTCAGACCTCATTTATCAAAGAAAATTAAGAACTCCATGTGGCCATGACTAGCCTGTACTTCTCATCCAAGACCTCCATTACCTGTGTGACCTAAGGGCCCTAAGGGGATGGTACAAATTCCTCATATTGTTCTTAAAACTTATTCTTGATCACAATACCTATATTGAAAAGTGCAGACTTAATATATCCATGAAAAAAGGAATTAGAGCCTTAACAAACTCACATTTCAAGGGCACTAGATGTTCTCAGAGGCAAACTTGCTTTCTTGGACACATCCACAGCACGTGTAAAGCCAGTTACAGTACCCTCAGCTTTATCCAGCCAATGGTTGGATCAGTTGTTCCATGGAAACTGAAGCATTTAAAAGTCATCTAAGTAAAAGAGAAAAAAGTGGGAAAGACTCTTCCAAAGAAAGAAAATATGTTTAAATCTTCTTGGAACTCAAAAATAGCTAAAGAAGTTTGATTAAAGTATTCCAAGAGACTCAACATCAAACAAAAAAATCCAGAAAAAAATTCCTTCAGGCCAGAATACATTTTGTGCTCACTAAAAATATGTGAAAAAACAGAATTAAATAAAAATGTTTTGAAACCTGAATTCTGACAGTCTACAGAAAAATTTCTTAAAAGAGTAGACCATAAAACAGTTGTAAAAAAAAATCTCTTTAACCTATAAGTTCTAAATTAGTATTTTAGGTAAACAAAACAAAACAATAATGATGAACAATGTTCTAAGTTCACTTATTCTCTTTATGGCATTGATGACATATGTGTTCAGGATTATTTGTGGTAAGAAAGACTCATTTTCTTCTCTTTTTGGTGTTGTTGATACAGTAAAATTCATAAAAAATAATCTATCTTCCTAAACGCTTCATACATCAACCCCAAAATAGACTGCATTGCAGAAAACGAATCTGTAGAAAAAATGTGTGTCTGCTGAATGTCTGTTATGCTAAGGAGTCAATTTTCAGTGTTTTTTATGTCTTGGAAAATGCATAAACTGTCAGAAAATGTATGCAAAATGCTTTGAGAAATCTCAAGATGTAGCTGCTGTAGATAGCGTACAAACTCCTAATTGTAGGAGGCAGCTCTCAGAGATATATAAATGGTACATTATTTTTTTTTTTCCTTTTAATTGCACATCACCAATATAATCTCTTTCCTCTGCCTTTCTGAGTTGTTCACCAACAACAGTTTGTAACAGAAGTTGTCAACCGTAAGTCGCACACAAACGGGGCAGGAAAAGCAGTAGTATACGCATATGAATGTCACCACGCCAAGACATAACAATTGCTGCTCACTCACTAAACTAAAATTTTAATTATCTTGTAAATCACAGAGCCTAGTCCTAGAAACTTTGTCTCAAGGAGGTAATACAGTCTCCTCAGTCATACTAAAGCATTTTAAACTTTATCTGTCAGTGCAGTGTAGCACATAAAGTTCACTTAATTGGTGCTCACTGATCTCAGAGATGTCAAAGTGTTCTCATTACTCATCATTCAGGAATCTGCTGTCAATTAGCTCTTCTAGTACAATTTTTGGCAAACCGGTTAGGTCTGAATATTTGTGGAACAAGGTCTCACATACCAAACTTTGACTGATGCAGGTGATGACATACATGCCAATGTATTTTACACATTTTATGCACAGATAGAAAGCATTTTATATCTTGTGTGCATTTCCAAAGCATTAGAGCAGTGTGGGTTTTTTCTACCAGTCCACTAATTCTCTAACATAAAAGATGCTTCATTTCTCTTTTCACACAGTTAACTTGTAGTTCAAGAGACCAAGGTAACTTGAGTTTTAAGAGAAGAAATAGAAGAATTTTTCAGCAATATGTAGCATGCAGGCACTGGTTATCCTTCTACTGTTCTGAGGACTTCAAAAACACCAGAAATGAAAAACACTTCCATCTTTTCTTACTGCTTTTTTTCTGCCTGTTTGTTGGAGGAATTGTCAAGATAGAGTAGAGAAAGGACCCTGAACACAGACATCTCTACCAATGTCCTAGTTTTGAAAAGAAAGTTCAAAAAAAAAGTTTAGAAACAGTTGGGATGAAGGAGTAATGACCAAGTGAATGATCTTGAGCACAGCTGCACCAGCAGGAACATGCTAATGGGGTATTGCAACAGACTGGCAAGGCAGCACTGGAGGCTTCTGAATGACTTGAAAACTGACGAGGAGAAAAATGGAAAGCAAACTCAGGATTAAAGACAAATGTAAGAAACCATCACTCAAATGTGTGGCCACATCAGTAACCTTAGGATGCAAAATAAATAACAGTTATTAAGGGACAGAAAGTAGCAAGGCTAAGTCTTACAACACATTATAAGGAAAGGTCAAAAGAAAGTACAGAGAAATAGAGGAAATCAGGGATCACACAGGG